CAGCACAGTTTACAATAGCAAAGACCTGGAACCAACCCAAATGCCCATCGATGATAGACTGGACAGGGAAAATGTGGCACATATACACCATGGAATATTACGCAGCCATAAAAAACGATGAGTTCGTGTCCTTTATAGGGACATGGATGAATCTGGAAGCCATCTTTCTCAGCAAACTGACACAGGAGCAGAAAATCAAACACCGCATGTTCTCACTCAGAGGCGGGTGTTGAACAATGGGAACACATGGACACAGGGAGGGGAGCACTACACACTGGGGTCTGTTGGAGGGAAGTAGGGGAGGGACAGTGGGGGGTGGGGAGTTGGGGGCGAGGGCATGGGGAGAAATGCCAGATATAGGTGAAGGGGAGGAAGGCAGAAAATACACACTGCCACGTGTGTACATATGCAACAATCTTGCATGTTCTTCACATGTACCTCAAAACCTAAAATGCAATAAAAAGAGACTAAAGGGTCTGAAAATTATTTTAAAACTTCTCATGAGCTTGAAATGCCTTGATGAGTTAGAATACATCAGATCCATATATATTATTTTCCCTACAATACATATAATATTGAAAAAAAAGTTAATGGATTCTGAAACTGTTTTTTGATTATAAAAGTCATTATTAAGACATTCAGAAAACTTCGAAGTTTGTGGGACCTCCTGTAAAGCAATTACTTGGAAGCTTCTCAAAAAATCTTTTGATGTTTGGGAATTAACCAGGCACTGAAAGAGGAAATAGCAGCTATACTCAGTTTGAAGATAAGATCCATCAACATAAGCTAGTTTTCAAGAATACAGAAGACTGTTATAAATGACAACCTCACACTAGGGGGGTTATGGATATTACTAGCAGTAGAATCTGGACAATGTTGGTTTTTGTTTTTTAATCACAGAACATCTCTCCATTTTTCTTTTGCCTTATCATATGTTAGATACTTTTAAGTAGAGGGCATTGCCATAAAATCTTAAAATTCCCCAAACTAAAAAACTTGTTTTTATAGCCAGTCTAGTGCAAAACACTCATTCTAAATCTAAACAAATATGGGGCCAGAGAAATTAGATGGTCAAAAAAAAATTCATCCACTAGGTTATTATTGGTACTAGAAACAGTATCTCTTTGTTTATATTATAAAACTTTTTTCTTAGTTTATATTCTAAAACTTTTTCCCAAAGCCTCTTTCCTGTCTTTCAGCAAAGCACTACACACACATAACTGAAAGATCAGTTAGTACAAATGGACTTCTAGCAAGTAAACAGCCATTCCTCATCCCTCAGACTTCTGTATCCAACTACCTTGTGACTTCCTTCCATTATTGTCATTGAAATGTACAATTCCTTTTTATTTCTATTTCTTTGTATGTGACTTATCCCTCCATATTTTTCCCTGTCCTTAGGACTTTTCTCTTCATTGCTAGTATTTGAAATTTCATGTGTGTGTGGAGGGGGTGTGACAGTTTGTTGCTCTTTGTTGGACACAATGCACAATTTCAATAAAGGAAATCTCTGTTACTTTTTTTCTGTAAGATGTCCCTCCCCTCTGCCATTTTCCAGAGCTATTGCTATTCCTAAATAAATGACAACAGGAAATGTTTCACAACGGCTTTTGATTTCCAAAAGTCTCAAATTACACAGCAAAGACTCCATCTAAGGCAATTATTTATGTACTGATCATTTGAATCAAGATATATTATTTTCCTTAAGTAAAAAAGTTGCTACTAGTATGTAATGGTAAAGTTTTTATACCACAGTAGATAATGATTTGTAACTATATGTTAGGAATTTTCATATTCTGTATAGAAACACAGTGATTCTGTAGCTGGCATCAGCTGGATCCTGACTTCAGATGAATGATCTGGAGAAGATCATATTTTTAAATAGGAAATCTGTTTGAATAAGTTGAGTGATTAACATTCAGTGAACAGCAAGTATTCTTAACTAAATCAAAGTAGTCATGAAAGAAAGTATTGTAGGTAATTCCGAAAACATATATCAAAATTAAATGGTGAGGTTGAAGGTTGTAGTTAAGTACCAACAAGTGTGAGTTTTGGGAGCATTTTGAAATGGTGGAGGAATTATTTCTGAGGAATTAATACTGATGGGAAGGATGCAGGAAAGAGTGAAAATGTTACTTTTGGTCCCCAGGAGAAATGGGAGTCCTTTTCAGAGAGCATGGGAGACAAATGAGTCCTTTGCAGTCCTCTTGTCTGCCTCTGAGGGTGAAATGAGAGTGTGAAGCACTTTGGGAGGTGGCCAGGCACACAGCTAGGCTCGCTACAGAGCAGAGCTTCTTCCAGATAGTGTGGCCCCAGTCATCATGAGCCATGTCTGAAAGAATTAATCACATTTCATATGCAAGCATGCTCTCTTTTGACTGTGCTGTTGTTTTTAATGAAAGCATCATTGACAATGCTTTAACCTGATAGCCCTGCCTAATTTTGTTCTATGTAATAATACGTGGGCTTGAGGAGGAGGCAGCATTGGGGGAGAAGGAGGGAGAATGGATGTGTGAATTAGGGAAAGGTGTCTCTTCCCTTGGAGCATGGATGGGTTCAAAGCCCGCCTCATACTACTAAGTATTTGCTGGACACTACCAGTTGTGTGTCAAGCCTGTGTGTGTGTGTGTGTGTGTGTGTGTGTGTGTGTGTGTGTGTCTGTCTCCAGGCCTGAACAGCAAACCCTTCTTCCTGTGGTAGCATGTTACTCAGAATCTTGGATAACTCCAATCCCTCCTAAAAACACAATACATGTATGTTATAAGAAATTTATCTTGATGATTGGTGAGAGAGTGGTTATTGAAACCAGCTCATTTCCCATTTACCACTGAGGCCAGCTCACCTTTGCTGAAGAGGGTTCTTGGCTCTTCCTTTGTAGCAGGAACTCCTAAGTTAATCAAGCCTTTTCAAGAGTTTCAGGCTGAAAGTCAAGATCTCTCAGGTTAGACCAATGTTAAAATTTGAACCGGGCAAATTCTCATTAGAGACAAGGGGCCAAAGACTGTGCCGATGGAATCTAATGTCTTTTAATATTGACTTCAATCCAGTAAAGCCCTTGTTAAGCCATTTAACTGTAAAATTGGGCCTTGGGGAGACAGTGCACCCTCTGAAATTAGAGGTCAGGAGATTTGGATTTGATTTCCAGCCCTCTGCCAGTCAGTCAGCCACTCACTTTCAAGTGACAAGCCTTAGGCGAGTCACTTTCTGTCTCTGTTTCTCGATTTTCGCACAGGGATTTATGTGGGCCTTAAGGCCCACTGGGAAATGATCCCTTTTTCAGCTCAGTGCCTGGTTTGTTGAGTATACTTGTCAATCTGGACTTTAATACACCTATGGTTTTGGATTAACTCTATTACCTCTGCTAGAAATTAACACAGAAAATTCACAGTTGATTGACAAGAATGAGAATCAGTTCTAAAGAATTCAAATATAACCAAATCCTTTATTACTAAAAGAATGCTCAACCCAAGTGGACACAGATCAGTCATTTTAACTTCATTATCTAGGGCACTTAGAGACAACTTTTTCAAAATACACAGCTAAAACTGTCCCTGTTATAAGTGCTAGACAACTTTTTGAAAATACACAGTAAAAATGGGGCACTGTGGTTTATTCCCGTAAGCCCAGCACTTTGGAAGGCTGGGGCTGGAAAATTGCTTGAGCCCAGATGTTTAACACAAGACTGGGTAGCATGATAAAACCCGTCTCTACAAAAATTATAAAAATTAGCCAGTATGGTGGCCTGCACCTGTAGTCTCAGTTAGGTGGGAGGCTTCAGTAACCCATGATTGCACCACTGCCCTTTGTCTGTCTCAAAACAAACAAACAAAAAGAGTAAAAAGCCTGTGGGTTGGGTAAATTTTTTTGAAAAAGAAGGCATAAGAATTTGGAGACTGTTTAGATGTGCTATATGAGGGAAAACAAGAAATCCAAATTGAGTTCAAAATTTCAAGCCTAAGGAATAGGCAGAATTATCATTGCTAGCTAGAAGTCATGAAGCTATATGAAATGAATGAGGTGTATCTAAATCATTTCAGATTCGAATGTCAAATCTGAGGTGAACACTACAGAAACTGACATGTCTTGAAAGTTGTTGAGATACCAGGCTGCACATGGCTCAGGATAAAAGATATTGATATGGATATAGTGAATTAACTCCAGAGAAATATTAACTCCCCAAGAGTGACCAGCGCATGAATGTTCTAGTAGACTTTCTCACTGATAATTCTCTTCAACAGATAGAACCTACTTTTTTTTTTTTTGCACAATTAGTTGCATTGTGAGCAAACCCTAATGATAACTGAATAGGTTTCAGCAGGTTTAAATATTTTTGTTATTTTTAGAAAGAGAAAATATTGTGAAGCATAGTATTAGGAAGTACATAAGAAATTTCCTTTTGATTGCTATAAAACTTCTTGTTTCCATAAAATTTCTCCTTATCATGAGTTGTTTTTAATACACAATTATTCAATCTTCTTGACTGATAGAATGGGCTATGGTCAAACAAACAAAAAAAAGTTAAACCAATCCAAATCAGGCAGGAATATTATGCAGAGTTGACTTTTCAAAGTGGCTTGGCTGAATATTGATGGAAGTGCTGGTTAGTACAAAGGAGAAAAACTATGTATAAGGAGGGATACACATAATAGAATTCTGTTATTACCAGTCTTTTCAAACACACAATTGAATGAGCTTTATCAGAGGCAGGTGTTTGTCACCATTTTAGATGTGAAACTCAAGAAGTGCTTGATTTTTTAATAGCGGTATTCCTGAATCTGGTTACAGGTTATAAAGGCGATCATCATTTACATGATCATGTCCTCAAACAGATGGTGAGAAAATGGAAACAAAGGACTGATTTGATGTATCCGGTAGTATGATAATTTGTAGTTAAATGAAAATAGAGAAGGATTCAGAGAATGAGTAATTTCACAGTAGCCAGTTGATAAATTATAGACCTAGAAGAAGCAATTTCACAAGATTAGAAAAGCAACTTTGACACAAATGTGCAATAAACATAGAAAATTTAATGAATATATTATTTAAAATTTTTTTAGTAAAGGGAAAAATAGAAAACAAAGTGGAACATTTCATATAAAATATTTATTAGAATTAATGCTAAATTTCTATAACAAATTTATGCATTTTTAAGAAAAATTTCTTCATATCCTATTTTCACTTTCAGCTTCTTTCTCTTTCTTTTGGTTTTAATTAGGCCCTCTTTTGATTTTCTTTGGATGAAACCTGTAAGAGGAAGAGGAATAAATTAATGTGTGATAAAGTAACACAATGAAACATTTTATCTAAAATCTTCTTAAAGTATCTTTTAACATTTAAATCCAAAAGACGTTATTGATTTAAAAGCCTTTAATTTGCTTCTGTATTTGTGTAGAACAATCTATTTTTAAGGAAGTTACTTTGCATATGTGAGTTAATAAAAATGGATAAGCATGCTGTTCATTTTTATTACTAGTTCATTTTCTGTTACAAATCCATGCTTCCTTTATTTTTAAAAAGTAGAAATGTGGCTGTATATGGCTGATGGAGTTACAGATAGTATTAGTTTGCATTTTTATACTCTTCTGACTGTTACAAACATGCATCAGTTTTATATTTCAGAAGACATCAATAAACAGGTTAACATTTTGTACATTTCAAAAAAGCTTACAGGAATTGGGTATAATCTTTTAAAATAAATGCCTAGTATTTCAACATTAAAAGAATAACATGTTTAAATTGTTTTAAATTGATTCTTTTTCTATGAAGACATTAAAAGAAATTACAGTTATATATCTAGCAATATTATCTAAATGTGTTTTAAGAAGACATTTATTAGCTGCATCATATTTTCTTATAATAAAGATAATTAATTTCATATTTTAATAGATTATAATGTCAATTCAATTGCTATCTTAAACACTAATCAATTAATGGGAAGAGTATCTTCTATACCTTTTTTACATGACTTCCGACATTCTTTTTTGGAAGTAAAATTGTTTTCATTTCCCCCGCATCCACTGTACTTAAATGGGCGGCATTTCCCAATGACTGAATTGTAGTAGAATCTGGTCTCATTGGCGCGACACAATCCTCTGTCTGCTGGATCGAGACACCATGAGGGACCCTGAAATTCTAAAAACATCAGGAAAACATGGTAAGCCATATATGAAAGTGAATTTGAGGCTTTCATATTGATACTGTTTATAGATTAGTCTTGTTGCATGCATATGTTAGCAGTAATCTGAATGAATAAAGGGATATTTAATAAAATTCATGCATTTCAATTCTAGGAAAATGCTTAATAAAATGCTGTGTCCTCTACATTGAGATCTTTCTCCAATGAATTTAAAAATCTCATTTGCCAAAGAGAAGTGTTATGATTATTCTTTATATGAACAATTTGTACATAATAAAAACTACTATTCGATAACGTAACTGCTGAAAATTTCTTACAGACACACACACACACACACACACACATTCATTTACATACCATTTGTTCTAAAATATTTAGCTTTAAAAAATTCTAATAAGCAAAGTTTTTATTTGTGATGTAACAAAAACACCAAAGCTGAGGAAGTTTCTTGTCTTAAATAACACATCATGAATGATGTAATACTATCATAATTTAAAGTGAAGGAATTAAGTCATAACAAGTTTTAAGTTTCAAGGAATGAGTCCAGATAAGATGTTTGTCTTGGTAGTATTTTTTTTCTCATAAATTGAAGTTTAGTTCTAGATGAGTTAAATGTTTTTACAAAGGAATCAACATTGCTAAAACCAGTGAAATGAAAATTTGATTTGGATCAGACAGATAAGCTGGTTTGCCAATGGGATCAATCAATGGTTTTCAAAAACAGAAGAGAAAAATACAACTAGGGCAATAAAAAGAACACTCATTTGCTAAATCAAGGAGAAAATTAATTTCAATGTTAGTTTTTAGTTCTTTGGGAATAACTGTCAGTGAGAGGCACTGGGTGGTCTTCAGTAGCATAGCTAAATTGCTTGATGTTAATAAACCTGTACTGCAGGTCAGTTGTTGTATGTCACGGAATCAATGTAAAAAAACTTTAATGGCTTTGCCAAATGGTGAGATGTGATACAAGCAAATACAGATGAGGAAGATTTGGTAAATATCCAATCTTAATAGAAAATAGTACTTTGAGGAATCCAGTGGTTAATGTAGGTGAATAGATTGTGCCTTAAGCAAGAAGCTGTCTTTTGGCAAATAAACCCCAGATGAACAGACTGTAAAAGAAAAAAGAAATAAAACAATGAGAAAAACTGAAAAGAATTCTCAAATTGATATAAGCATTTTTTTATACCACCTCCTGCCTTCTGGATATTTAAATAAGTACTAGAGTGTCTTGATATAGCAACTCAAATAACAAAAAATATTCTGGGAAATATGAGGGAATTAATACTATGAGAATAATTTATGAGAAGAAATCTGAGATGGGTGATATTTTTGTTCCAGAATTAAAAACTATAATCAAATACAGAATCTTTAGTTTTACTTAGGTCTTTGACTAGTTATGCATGCAGTAATTTTTTTTTTTTTTTTGAGATGGAGTCTTGCTCTGTCACCCAGGTTAAAGTGCAGTGGTGCTATCTCAGCTCACTGCCACCTCCACCTCTCAGGTTCAAGCGATTCTCCTGCCTCAGCTCCTTATATGCAATGATTTTTAAGAAGGCCTCTTAGGACTTGTAAAATGAAAATAGTATTTTAAATAATATGTCGCCCTTTCTGTTTTACCTTATCCTAGGTGGGGATTATAATGCATGATTTTTATTTTATTTTATTTTTACTTTTATTTTTATTTTTTTTAATTGCATTTTAGGTTTTGGGGTACATGTGAAGAACATGCAAGATTGTTGCATAGGTACACATGTGGCAGTGTGATTTGCTGCCTTCCTCCCCATCACCTATATCTGGCATTTCTCCCCGTGCTATCTCTCCCCAACTCCCCACCCCCCACTGTCCCTACCCTATTTCCCCCCAACAGACCCCAGAGTATAGTGCTCCCCTCCCTGTGTCCATTTGTTCTCATTGTTCAACACCCGCCTATGAGTTAAGAATAATTTTTGTTGTGTACATGTGAGCTTTACAAATGATGTTATGGGATAGATATAAAGAGTAAAATAGTTGCTATAGTGAAGCAGATTAATATATCCATCTCTCACAGAGTTATATTTTTTTGTATATGTCAAGAGTAGCTAAAATCTACTTATATAGCAAAAGTTCATAACACAATATATTTTGTTAACTGTTGTCTTCATGTTGTACATTAGATCTCTAGCCTTATTTATACTACATGCCTATATTTTGTATCCTTTTACATGATGATATGCCATCATAAATCCAAGTTAAAACGAGTGGTAAGAATGTGTGCTAAACATTCTAGAAAATGTAGACCTTTCTGGTCTTTAAGAATCATTTATATGAGGAGTTTTCTAGTGGTCTAGCAGAGTTACACTGTAATGAAGTTGTACTATTGTACAAACTTTTCCAATGTGTGTGACGTGGACTATCACCCTTGCACAGTATAGAATATAAAATGATTATTAATTGCCACCACTTTGATCTCATAAGCTTCCATTTTTCACCTATGTTCAGAAACAAAAGAGATGTACTAGATGCAATTAGCCTAATTTGAGAAACAGAAAACAGAGGAAATTGCTATCTCTTTTTTTTCCTGTTTAAACACCCATAGTAACTTCCAAATAGATGTGTATGATAAAATGATGTATGACTTATACATCAATTTCATTTCAGCATTTTGTACATAAGATGTATCTGCCCATAGTAAGCTGCAGATAGTATGTGTGAATGTGCTTGTAAGTTGTATCGTTCTTTGCAAATGTTAGTTGTTATGTCTTAATAGCAATGCCAGCTGTCAAGCCCCCTTATTCCAGAGCAGAGAAAATTTTCTGATGACAGGGAGCAAACTTCTTCTCTTTTCCTCATATATGACCTATAATAAACATGGCCCAATCATAACATCAAGGTTATTTCAAAATGAGAACAAGCTAGCCTAGTAAATCTGGGGCTATAGTCCCTACATTGGAGATATGAGAGGAAGAGCCTCATAGACTAAGAACGCCAGGTGAATGCTAGAACCATATGGCCCTTTCCATTGAAGCCGAAACCATGAAAGATACACCACAGATGTGGTGGAGAGACATTACTAGCTTCCGTCTTCCTTTGACCATCCAGTCACCCAACAATGCCTACCATTTACCAAATCCTTTCAAAGCTAGAGGAGAAAGATTTCCCATAAAACCACGAGGCAGGGTAAAAGCAGGGGGTTGATTTGAGAGCAAACAGACAGTTGGCCAGAATAGATGCCAGCAGAGAAAATTTCACTAAATTACCCAACAGAGTTTTGATCCAGATCAACCGTAAGGTTCCTAACTTCTAGAAATGATGGTATTTCAATAGTGTATTAAAATTTGAAGTTAAATGAAAATAGAGAAGTATCCAGAGAATGAGAATGAATAATATTGTATTATATGTAGTTAACTTTTAGAAGTTTCTTTAAAGATGCAATAAATTATTGTCAATTAAGGAATCATAAGGCAATTATTCTTCAGAACATAAATTTTACCTGATATGTAAACTAATTCATTTCTCCTAAGATCGTTTTAACTGAGAGCAGTAAGACTATCATTGGGTTGCTATGAACTAAATCACAGTAAAATTTAAGTAATGAAGCAAATGGTTTTTAAAAACATTTTAGCTCCATTTGAATTGTTTTCACCTCTTGAAGAGAAAAACTTGATAGATAGTTGGGCACTCATCTATTTAAAATCCAGACTTTGGTATCTACAATCAAAGAAAATATAAAGGTTTTGTGAAATGTGACTTTTTTGGTTGAGATTATAATTATTCACAGAAATTTAAGATAGAATAAAAAAGATACTAACCTGACTTTTGCTTTTTTTTTCCTGAGGAAAATTTAATAATCAAATGCATTCTGTCTTGACTTGGCCATTAATAACAAGTTGGGTACCTTTCTCTAGAGGGTTTTTGATAAGTTTCAGAATTCAGGATCCACTTTTTCTTCTTTCTTTTAAGTCAGGAACTATCATGATCCAGTGTGACTGCTAAATTGTAAGGCAGTGCTCTAAATTCAGTTTTACAGGCAAGGCTTTTTAACATAAATTTGCTTTGAGATTTATATAATAAACTTTGAATCTTCTGTTTACTTTGAATCCTTACTGTGGTATCTTTTTGATGATTCCCATTTGGCCTGCCTACTTAGGCTTTCGTTTTACTAAACAAATTAGGTTTTATGAAATATCTTACAACTTGTTAAGTACATTTACTTTTGTCTTCTGAGACTTTTTAGGAAATTGGTTAGCAAATCTTTTTTTAGGTTTTACTTTTCTATAATTTTGTATTAAAGAGAAATATATTTACTGTAAATTATCTTTGTAAAACTTTGAAATAATATGAAGCATAAAAAATGTAAAAAATTTATCAATAATTTGATTCTTGCTCTTTAACCACTACCAATGATTTATATATCTCCTAATTGTTTACATATGCAAATGTATTAGCATAACATTCTATATTTATTACTATACTTGATAATATTTTGTGGTTGTGTCTCTGCATTTTTATATAGATCTCACTTTTTGTAATGTATGTGCAGTACTTCATTTTATGAGTTGACTATGAGTATATGTAGTCAAATGGACATACAGATTATTATAATTCATTTTTTTCAGACAACAGTTCATGAGCACCCATGTATACTGGTTCAGGTGATTCCAGAGGAGATATTTCTGAAATTAGAATTATGCAAAATCTATATTTTAATTTATAATTTGGTAGATGTTGCCGAATTTTTCACTAAAAGGTTTTACAAATTTATATACCTACAATGACATTTAAAGTGCCCACGCCATTTAGCAAAATATGGACCTTACCGCTATACATTTATCTACTATTCAACACTTTTTTTCCTCCCCATACCAACAACAGTAGAAGGGTATGATGTGGGACAAGAAATTGCTTATAGCTTGCCAAATGTTCTGTGAAATACCATTTACATAAAGTCTCAATGTCATGGATTTGAAGATGCACTATTATTTTATGTACTGCTCATGAAGAAAGAAAAATACTG